ATTCTCTATCACACTTGCTTTTCTTTGAGAATGGTCTGTAGATTGCTAGTTCTGGTTATTACTCGGCAACATACTAAATCCTATTTTCGTTCGAATGAATTCTCTTTCTCAGTTGATGACTTGGTTAGGTATAGCATAGAAGTAGAGAAGTTCTAAAGTGAACTTTGCATACCTGTTGATATTTTTGTCTTTCGACGTTACAGATCTTTTTTCCGCCATACGTTATCTTATTTCTTTCTGAATTGAAATTATTACGAAAGTCTTCATCATTATCGTTATCTTCGTCATCATCATATTCTTCTTCATCTTCATTACACAAATCAAAACTGTTAATATTATTATTATTACGACTGAGTTGTTGTTCTTGATATGGTTTTATTTGACATTGATAAACATCTTTATATTGTAATTCTAAATTAAAGATTGGTAATACCAAACGTTCATTTTTCATTAATAATATATTTTTAAAATTATATAAAAACAAATCATTATGATTATTGTCGTCGCCACCATCTTGTTGTTCTGCTTTTACCAACATTTGTGAGCGATTTGAGATTTTATTTGAATTAGATTCTAAGACATGTTGTCGTGCTGAATAGTTTGGTTTTAATTGGTGTATGAAAGTGTCTACTGTTTGTTGACCAATTAAGGGATCTGTTAAATGAGAAAATTTTGTTATATTGGAATAACCAACCAAACATGACAATTGTTCTATTTGTAAATTTTCAATGTCATTTAATATTATTGTTTTAGCTTGTAAATAGCATTGTTTTGTTTGTTCACTTAATGTTAAATTGTAGGATGGTGCCCATGTCAGACCGTGAGTTAAATATTTCATTTGACCTTTACCAACAGTGTGTGTATCTTTTTCTGATATTGAAGATTGATAGTCAATTGATAAACAGTTCGCTATTTCGTAGTCATGATATGTTGTTTTTAAATTATTATTTCTTCGCAATGATAAAATATTAGCTAATGGTAATACATTTAGACGATGGTTATTCAGATCAAACGTTTCTTCAAATACAACCAATGTATTGCTAGATGATGACGATGAGTTTTGTATAGACTTAATTGTACCTCTTACCCATTGAAGTGAATTGTTTGCAGTTGTTAAATTAATTAATAATTCAACATCTGGTTGATTTTCATTTGCTTCAAGAAAATTTTGAATTGTTAAACATGGTTTCTCTATTAACTTTTTTGTTTTTTTATTACAAATTGATTTGATTATGACTGTAGAAAATAAGAATAAAGGAGAATTAGGTCAAATGTAGACTATAGAAACGAATATAACGGCAGTCCTATTGATACATGAAGTTGACAATATGAACTTTCGAGATATCTATTTCTAAGAGTTTCACGCTTTTACTCATCTCGTTCTGAGGCGTAAAAGTATGACACGCTGAGTTAGAAAATCTAAATGCTTTTCAATAACCAAAATTAGACATAAGGTAGAGTGACAAACTATTAGGGAAGAATGAGAGGAGACAAATCCATTAAATGAGTTTTTGCAAAACTTCACTCAGGATGCATTTTTAAACCGATAGCGCAAAAAATAGCACGTGGAGCCCTTTATGAAGAAAAATAAAATAACAGGATTAGTATTATATCTAGAGTCACTTTTCAGGAAAAAAGGTTTCTGCTGATGGATTAATATAAATCTACATTTCCGTATCGTTTAAGATGTCTTCTAAAGTTTCCAAAACATAAAATGAT